TCTTGCAGCGCCTGGCGGGCAGAGGTATTTTCTTCGACGACTTGGATACCCGGCCACTTCTCTTTGACGCAGCTTTTGCATTGTATCGAGGGTGTTTCTGAGAGCCACTGTTCTTCACCGGCCGATCGGCACCATGTCACGAGAAAGGCTGGCTGCAGCAGGAGAGCGCAAGCGCGTGTGTGTGGTGGGCGCCGGTGCAGCCGGCCTAGCCACGGCCTGGAGCTTGGGGCGACACCCTGACAAGTTTGAGGTCACCGTCTTTGACAAGAATGGCTGGGCAGGCGGTGTCAGCACCTCTGAAGATGTTGGACAGGGGCATTGGATCAATGATGGGGTACAAGGCGCCGCCCCCTCGTATCGCAATACGCTGCTCTTGCACCGCGAGCTAGGCTTTGAACATCACCATGTACATCTCAAGGTCAGATTTGAAGCCCTGTTCATTCAGCCCTGTCTTGTCCGAGAGACCTTGGTGCCGCTCGCCGCCCATGCTCTTTCGCCTACCTGAACCGACCCTGCTCAACCAACTTGATGCGCGGCGCACCCAGGTGGCCTTTGGCAAGGGCGAAACAGCTTGGAATAATATTGCCCCGACATCACTGGTCTTGGCCCACCGCGAAGAAATTGAACGCTTCGGCCAGGTCCTGCAACGCATCAAGAACCGCGAATGGTTCTATGCCTTTGTGCGCATTCGCACCGTCCTGCGCTGGTTCAACTTCTCCAAGTCCTTCCGCGACCATCTGGTATTCCCGCTGACAGCCCTTTTCTTTGGCACGGGAAACCAAACTCCGGAGGTCTCAGCCGTCGTCGTCGCCCGCGTCTTTTTGGATCCGGACATTCGGCTGTTTGATTATGACCCTGAATATCTCCTTCACCAGACGCCTGACTTTTTGGCCTTTGACAAGCTGAGTGACGTCTATGCGCGCCTTGCTGAAAAGTGCAATGCTGATGTGCGCCTCAACCAAGCTGTTGTTCGCGTTGAACGCCGCCGCCGAGACGTGCTGGTGACAACCGATGACGGCTCCACATTTGCATTTGATGAAATTGTCTTTGCCACCGATGCCGACACCCCGCTCAAGATGCTAACGAGCACCCGGTCCGTCTTGACGCCCTCGATCTTGATGCCACAGTGGAGAAAAGCTCTTGGAGCTTTGTGCACCGCCTTCCTTCTTGTGTGGTCTCACCCCACACTCGCACCTATTGCCCAACCATGCCTTTTAGATGGGCTGAGCGCCGCGTGCTGGGTAGCGTCACCTACTACAACGACATCTCTGTTACCCATGAAGACGAGGAGGTATCAAAACCGCAATTGGTGGTCAAACCTGTTCTTTGCTGCTCTGATTCGTCTAGCAAAACTGACGCTAAACACGTCGACCATCGTGAATCCCGCGTGGCTCAAAATAGTACATGCGCCGGCATTACGAGTTTGATAATGAGCGCGGAGACATGTATTTTGTGCGCACGGACCCTGAGGACAGCGAGGTGATAGAAATGGCCTTCAACCTCTCCAACTACCAAAAGCAACTGGACGGCACTGGTAGGTTCAACTCGCTGGGGTGATGGATTTGGTGTGCTCTCTACTCTGACAAGCTTTTCTGTCATATCCCCAGGACGCAACATCTATCAGACCATATTTCTCAATGACCAGATCCGAGACCGCTGGACGTGGGACGAAATTGATCCCAACAAGGTGCGTGCTTTGCGTTGGCCGCAAAAAGTTGGAGTCGGATGTCCTTGAAAGGCATCCAACTCAACCAGCTGCCCTCGCGAGAGCCGCTACTCTATTGGTGTTTGGAGTGAGCTTTATTGAAGCAAGGCATCATGCGCTTCTTGTAAATTGTTGTGGTTTACCCTAGATACTAATTAAAAAGTGGTGGAAGCAAATGTCACACACTTGGAAACATTTCTTCCGTGTTGTGCCCTGGGTGCGCTTTCTACAAGGTCGCCAGGTCAGTTCTTCCTCATATCGGCTTGCCACATGCCCGAGCCGCTGCTCTCGTGCATCATCTCATATGGATGTCGTTGCGACAGCACACTTGGTACGCTGGCTCCTGGACACTCTTCAACACGCACGAGCTGGCCATCATCTCTGGCCTTGCTGTTGCTCAACGCCTGGGCGCTGACTATCCCTTTGAGCACGATCACTTGGCTGCCCTCCAATTTGATAATCTCATGAAGGTGAGACCATCCCTTAGAGGCCTCGCAACGGCTCGGTCCGACAGAAGGCGCCCGTGCCTGAACTCGCTTGCTTTGAATTTGTCCAACTCATTCAAGTTGGCCTTTGGATATAATCCAGATTTCCCATGGAATAGATCGCCACCGCCGAAGCTGGTGGGACTGGCTCTGCTGCCGACCCGCTCCATCAGACCGCAGCAAACAAGATTGATAGGCAGTCCGATCGACCAAGATGAAGGGCATTGCATCCACGGCTTCCACACTCGTCTCGACTCAATTAAAAGAATGACAGAAGCATGACATGTCATAATCAAGTAGTAATAATATCATTGGTCTGATTAACAATGTACCTGCTCAGCGGTCGGCTGGCTGGCCTACAATAAGCATGGCAAACTCTTGGCCCCACTGGGGCCGGGATCGTTGCAAAGAGGCAGACGCGTTGGAACGCACATTTCCGACTGCTGAACCCAGTTCTGGAGCACTACTACCCAAGCGGCGCCCTGAGTGGCGCCCTGATAGCCGGCCCGAGTGGCTCAAGGCAGGCCGGTGGGCACGAAAGGCGGGTGTTGTGGGTATCGACGCACTCATCGAGTGTACAGACGTGTGGGTACCAGGTCGTGTGTGCGGGGACCGTGGTCGTGGCATAGAAAGGCTATCACGGTGTGCCAAATGGGCATCACCCTCACTTCGCCCCTCCGTCCCTGGGCCAACGCTCGCGCAGGACGAGGAGGGGGACGATAGCTTGTCTCGTACCAATGCTCGATCTCTACAAGAACATCATGGAGTGGAGCAAACCGAGAAGTAAGTATAGACGGTGCTAGCTAGCGCGAAAGCTCTACGGTGAGCATGCAAAGTGACGTACCCAGCGACGCGGCGTGCAAAATCCATTGGCTCGGGGCTGCTCGATAGGATGGCATGCAAAACCATTGGATCAACATCGCATGCAGGCGGAGGGGTCTGCCCAGTTGAGCGCCGCCACGACATGTTGGGGGCGGGAGAGATTGGTGCCAAGTAAGGCCCATGACCCAAACCATTCAACGTCGGTGCCGAGAGCAGCATCAAGCTAGTGCTCTGCGAAGGCGTTTCAAGAATACCCACATCGCCATCTTCACCTGCACCCAGCGCAGATCTCTCTGCCGCGCTGACGTCCGCCTCCGTATCCACTTCCATAGTTGGTTGGGGCACAAAAATATCGACTTGAGCCGTGGGCAAACCGTCGGCCTTGTCAGTCTCGGCCCCAGCCGACTTGACACCCCCAGTACCAATGTCGCTCTCATCAGCAGCCTTGTGCATTGCGCCTGCCAGTCGGGTGTTGGCGTGCGCTGCTGCAAAGCGCTGTCGGGTAAAAGAGGACGTTCCCATTCGAGTGGCCAACCCTGTGCGCTGGTACCCGTGCAGTCGCGACCATCGAGCAGGTCGTGCGCCCGGTCGTTTGGCCTCAAAGTAGTTGAATGAGGTGTTGGGATGCCGCGCTGGTGCAGGTTCAGGCAACTCAGGATCCGGTGTCAAAGTTTGCACGGCTGCTGCCGTTTGAACTCGTGGCTTGGTTTGAGTAAAGCACCAGCCTTGACCATCCCACTGTAGCAAAGACATTGGCACGGCCTGTCGACCATCCCCCAGGTTGCTCAAGACGACCATGGGCTGTGCGTGGCGCTGCACTGCAACGACCAGAGCTTCCTCCTCCCCCACCATCACCGGGTCCCCTGGACGGGGCTCAGCCTAGAAAAAATGCTGTTGCATGAGCTAGGACGGGAAAACAACTGTGGACAATTCCGCCCTTTGCCAAGACATGACCCCAATCTGTGTAGCATCACCTACCAGTTGAGCCATTGGGGCAGCGCTACTAGGGACTGGCTCCAACGACGCAAACAGTTGCGTTGCCAGGTCACGAAACCGAACCCACAGCGTATTCTGCATGGCCAAAGTCATTTGTCATTTTACCAAAGAACGATATGCTGAGCCCTTTGTTGGTCGATGCAAAGCCAGCACCTGACCCACACAGCCACCCATGGCTGACCAGAGCCAAAATCACACGTCATGTTCAGCCAGGCAAACAGGAATCAAGAATCAAACGCACCTCGGGAGAAGGCTCCATGTCAGTCTCGACTTCGGATGCGACATCTCCGTCCGTGATGAACTGCCCTTCCTCCTCAATGTCCTCATCAAGGCCATACGGCTCATCCGGCTGCTCCTCGGCACTTTCACCGTCCGCGGTGCCATTGCTGTCATCACGGTCCCAGGCCTCTTCCTGCAGCGCCACTTGCAACTGCGAACGAATGCGTGCAGCTGTGGTCTCATCCAACGTGGCATCGGCCAGCAACTGGGTCAATCCTATCAACATGAGAGCATGCAGTAACAGGCGAGGGTTACATCCAGTTGGTGTCACATCAAGTTGCGTCTGGAACAGCCCCCATGCACACTTACCACGGCTACTTCCGTTCAACAAATAGGGAATGGCGCGAGGCAGTACGACAAGCAGACGAGCAAACTCCACCGCCAGCAGGTTTGAATCCATGGCTTTGGAATAGGCGGCATGGGTGGGATTGGAATAGCTGCATGCGCGAGAAGCATGTCACCCAACATGCCACGTGAATGCGACGTGACTGATGCATGTGCTCAGCAGTAGCATGAGAAGAACAAAAGTCTGCTTACACGCGTGAGGAGCGCACTTGTCGTGCACTGAGCCGAGAACCAGCATCACCGTCGACACCATACACGCAGCGGAGAGCGTGCATCATCATGCGCGCCAGGTCTTGCTGCAGCTCACGAGGCAGATCCTCTTGCGTCTATTCAAGAAAAAGAGGGAAAACACCAGGACACAATGTTGAGGAAGATGCATGAGCTGACCCCAATCATGGACATTGGACGGCATTTGGGTTTATTCGAGGGCGCACGGCGCACCTCGCCCCGCTCCTCAAGCTCGAGCTCGAGTTTGGAAGCCAGCATACAGGCCAGTTGAGCGCGACCTTCAGGGCCTATTTGAAAGGCTTGCCAAACAAATCCATCAAGTTCCTCGTGCACTGCCACGGCCTCACGCATCAAATCTGAAGGGATGTCATAAAAGAGGGTTGCCTGCAAGTTTCAGATGAGACGAAGGCAAGGCCATGCATTGGTAATTCATGTAGATAAAGTCAGAAAGGGCGGTTTTGCAAAACGTGGAGAACGTACCGCAATTAACATATACACGACGTTGCGCCGCATTGAGGGCATGGCCAGAATGGCTTCGGCTAGGTTGGCACTGGGTGGCGAGGATTTCTTCTCGCTTTGAGCAGCAGATGCAGATGAAGTGGTGGTGGTGTCACGAAAAATGCGAGCTCGATCTTGATCCCAGATGCGGGCAATGTGCTGCAGGCGCCGAGTGCACACGCCACCTGGGCAGAGGCCAAGGGTCATCGTGCAGGTCAATTTGCGCGGTCGAAGACCATGGTGCCCAATGTCCAGGAGCGGCGGGCCGATGCTGTACCTTGAGCTTCCTCGAGGTGCAAGGGCACGGCGCGTGCCATGTCCACTGCTTGTGGGCTGGGTGGTAACTGCATGCTGCGCAATGGCATGGCCAACTAAATATAGAGCCATGACCCAGAAACGTTGGTGTTTCGCAGTGCGGAAAGAGTCTATGAGGCCTCGTTGGTTGACTTGAGCGACGGGCAAGTTGAGGATCACAAAGCTAAAGCGTACCTTCCACCCATGCCGTGCAACCAATTCGCGACAGCGTTTACGTTGGCGTGGGGTGACGAGACGGCCATCCAGGGCCCAAACGCGAGGAAGGTGGTGCAAAACCTTAACTTGGTCTAAAGCGACAACCCCACACGCTCTTGAGCTTTTCTTGTGTACGATTGCTTGAAGCCATCGAGGGTAAGGTTTTGGTGCGCAAATCGAAGTCTTACAGTGGGGATCCACCTCAACTGGATTGCCAGCCAAGACAAGCCAGGCAATGTTGACCTCTTGAAGGCGCGCAATGCCGTGCCAATCGAGCATGTTGTTGGCAAGATTAACAAAGCCGAGGCAAGAATAAGCCACCAATGCATCCACCTCGGCCAGCTGTGGAAAGCACGCAATGGAAGGCAAGCGGAAGCAGATTGGGTTTGAGTGTCACGTTCTCCTTCGGAAGGATCAAGTTCGATATGGGGAGCTACAGACCTGGTTGTTGCTCAGATCAATATGCCATAGTGCTTGAAGGCGAAATGTGGGAAGGCGAATCAGCGTGTTGTGACTTGCCAGCAATACTTGAAGGTCATGGCAAAGCTGAAGTGCGTCCAGTGTGGCTGTCCACAGCAACCGCATCCAGCATCATCAAGGTTGTGGGTGAGTATCCAGGCCTCCTTGCCTGCAAGAGAGGGACCGTGTGTCCTCGGCGGCTTCACCAACTCCACCTCCCTGTTCCCCCGCCTTTCTCGTGCATTCTCTCATCATGGAACCCGATGCGAAAGGGATGTCTCCCAAACTGCCAAAACCCAATGTGGAATGGTTCGCGCTCACCTAGTTCTTGTTGGGCAGCACCGAGGACCTTGATGTGGGCTAGCTCCTCGCGCGTGGCTCGATGAGCCAGCTCCAAGAGCAGCTATAGACAATTTGTTCCATATACATGCGCGGTGTCAGCTGCGATCCTTACTTCAATGCGTGCACGTGAGAGGCGCTGCCCTTGACCCCGTATCCAAGGCCAGCTTGCCACGCCTTCACCTCAGAGGCCACAACCTCCCTTTCCAACTGTTAACCCCACCAACACCATCACACAATCACACACGCGCGACACGCGTGCGCACAGACACATGTGCGCACAGACACAGACACAGACACAGACACACACGCTGCCCTTTCTGTACCCAAAGCGCACCGAGCACAGAGAGGTAGCAACACTTTCAAGGCACGGCACCAACCTTTCCACTCAACCGGCGCATTTTTTTTTATGGGTTTTGCTGTTATGGTTTTGGATGTCAGCAAAAAGAGAGAAATATGCATGTCACACACGATTCTTCTCTCTCTCTCTGTAAAAGTGTGTCCAAACCGATGTCATACCAAACACACACACACACACACACACACACACACAGAGTGCTCTGCGCCATTGCCAGCTCTCCAAACCGGATGGACCCCAACACAACTGCCTCTCCCCTCGGCTTCACTCAGTTGCCTGCCTTGCTCGGGCACTTGATCGAAGCTCTTCGATTGCGGCCCGTTTTCTGGAATCCCAATCTACGAGAGAGGAGCCAACCTCCCCCCTTCCGCTCCACACACACCCTAACCCAAACCCTAACCCTAACCCTAACCCTGGCCCCAACTCCCAAACACTTTTTGCTTTGCACATCTCCCGACTGTCGTTCGCGATGGTGAGTATCGTCCGCGATGATGACTGTTTTCCGTGGAATCACCTCAAGACTCGTATACCATCGTCCAACAAACAACGCACAAATCAGGATGCTCCCCATTTCGAGAGCGACAGTCAGCTCAAGTGTGATTCAAAGGGCGGCCCTTTAACATGACAATGGATTTTTTAACCAACGATGTCTGCAACAACAACTAAGAACTGTAAATCGGATAAAGCAAGCCCACATCAAACATAAAACCAAGCACGTTCGGGTGGGCCGAGACTAAACAATCGTCAAAAAGGAAGAGACGACGAGAACCTACTAACATGAAAATTAAAACAAACTAGCGTTGTGTGACAAGAACAACATATCTAGTTTGAAGCAACATCTAGGTACTCCTCATCATTGATCGCGAGCGACAGGAGCGAGAAGTCCTCTACTGGGTCATCGACGGGATTTGACACTGTTTCGATATAGTGGGGATCATCGAAAGCGTGATAATCATCGCCTTCGTCCAAGGACTCCTCTGAAAAAGGGGATTGTGGCGTCCCAGCGGCTGGAGGATCAAAGTACTCAGCGGAATGACCTTCATAGGCTGGGTTCTGCAAAGGTGCTAGCACATGAGAGTCTGACGAACGCTGAAGGCTGGCATAAGAGGGCTCCGACTGGTACGCGCCACGCGGCTCCGTTGAAGCTTCCAAATGATGATACAAGCTTTGACCCCGGTAGCCAGGGTTTAGAATGACATTGGCCTTGACGCCGGAGGATGTTCCAGTCTCAGCGTCTGAGTTCTGAGCATCTGGTTCGTCAAACGCCTCCACATCACCATACAGCTCCTGCTCAGTCACTCCGCTCGGCACCACCCCAAGCTGCCACAACCCAACATCCTCATCATACATCGGGTTCACAGCTCCCGCCATCGTCCCGTCGTCCAGCTCATGCACCATCCGCGCCGTCTTGAGCCCAAGTTCCGCTCGCCCACCGCCCCCGCCGCGACGACGACGCCACACCACAAACAAAATAAACACCACCACCACAATAAGAATGCCTCCCACGCTCGCCCCCAGCGTCGCACCCGAAAGCCCTCCGCCAGATGACGTCGACGACGATGATGACGACGGTGGCCCCGATGGCTCCGCCTCAAACACAACTGTACGATTCACCCTCATCACATTCTGGTGGTCGTCCTGCACGCTGTACGCCACAATCATCCACCGTGTCCCCGCACCAGAGCCTGCATCACCGCCCGCATCCATGTCCATGTCCGTCTTCGTGGCTGTGTCCTTAGCCGTAGCCGTAGCAGTGTCCGATGATCGCAATACAACCGCCTGTTTCACACGACCGCTCACGTCCCCGGCATAGTCGTCGTACGCCTCCCATCCGGGCTCAACATACTCCGCTCCCCCCACAACATACGTCGTCCCACTCGCCTCATCATGCCGGTACTCTCCAAACAGCAGCTCAAGCCGAGGCGCCACAGTGTCCACAACCGTCATGTTGAAACTCGTCCTCCCAACGTTGCCGCTCGCGTCCGCCACCCGCAAGTGCACCTCATACATCGTTCCTACCGCCGCACTCGCATCAATCAAATGCCGCACACCACGCCAAGCCCGGTAATCAAGACCACCACCAGAGCCTCGGCGTGCTCGATCGGCCGTCGTCGTCGTCGCTGTCGCTGTCGTCGTCGTCGCTGTCGCTGTCGTCGTCGTACTCGCTGCCTTTTCATCCGCGTCGCCTCCAATCGCGTGCTCAATCACTGCCATCTCGACACGCTCCAACAGGCTCGTGCCCCGCCACCCTCCATCCGACACGCTCACATACGACCCC